TTCCGGTATGTCGACGCTAGGTTAGAGATACTGCTTAGTGTAGAGGGATGGTCCGCTCCTAGTATTATCTTGCTAGTCTCTACTACTTGCTCAAAAAGCTCCTCAGCATCGCTCCTAACCGTCATCGTAGGTGAGTAGGCTTGTTCGCTTACGCTCGCTCCTCCTAAAGGCCTCCAGGTACTTCGCCACTGTGAATAGTGGTGCTCTTTCCGAGACGTACGCTGCAGCTTGCACAATAGCGAGCGGCAAGTTCTCAAGCGCAGCTGAGAGCTCAGCAAGGTCGCTAGCATCCTCTTGCACTACTAGCTTCTTGCCAAATAGCGCCAGCGCCTGCGCCTTGTCCATCGGCTCTACATGAACAACGTCGCGCTGCTCGACCAGATCCAGTGCCGCCTCCCTGTTCCGCGTCGTAATAAGGATCGAGCCGCGCTCGCAGCTGGGGAGGTAATTGAGCAACCGGCTAGCAGGGCTCTTTGAATCGACACTCTGGCCACGTTCGATAGCTCGAGCATCGAGAAGAAAGTGAGCATCGTCAAGATTATCAAGCACGAGAAGCCATCGCTGCTTGCAGTTACGAAGCCAGTTGTGCACGAGCTTGAATATGTTCGCCTGCGGGTCTCGCCGCCCAGCGATCTTAACACAGTCGGCGATGTCGCGGAAGCTCTGCTCGAACCGGGCCGCGTTACTGGCGTGCACCCAGAACACCCACATCTCAGGAGATCGCTCGCGCGTGCGGTAGGCATATTCGATGGCGAGCTGTGACTTGCTTCTCTGCCGTCAGCCTTGCTGTGCTAGTCAAGCCGACTTCTGCTTACCCCACACCACCTAGGCCCACAAGCGCAGTCCGCGAACCTGGCGCATCGCATCTATGCCGCACTTGGTCGAGTGTTGTCTCCCGCTCGATAAAGTCGGTGTCGCGGGTGAAGGGTATGACTATCAATGGCGATGGTGGAGTCTCGGGTCGCTCTTGAGGCGGGGTCTGTTAGCACTTGTTCGGGCCCTGGAGCTAGAGCGATCCCACAACGTACCAGGAGGAAGGGAGAACGCAGTGTTCACTAGGCCGTGGATGGTGCCGGCTTGGAAGCCGGCGTTCGCGATACCAAAAGTGATTGTGGAGCTCATAATACTGCAATGTCAGCCTCAAGGCGGCGGTGTCTGTGACCAAGTGTCAGCTGGAGCTCAGCTGTGCTTCAGCCTGCCGGTTCATGCAGTTAGCTTGCAGGCATCTTGGCCACCCATATTTCCTCGCCATTCCAATATCACCACCACTGGCCGCGCTGAGCCTGCAGATTATAGGATATCGTACCAAACCTTATAGTGTCATGGTGTTAGGGAATCTACGACATGGTCTCTTCTAATGCGCTTACTGCTATTCAGAGTGCAGAGAGGAATAAAGAAAAGTATATGGCGTAGGGACGCGTAGACTTCGCATTTATAGGTCATGTTCTAATCGTAATTAAATCTAGGTAATATAACTTAAGTTAGTTAAGTTAGTATTCAAGTTACATTAGATTCGGTTCAAATGAAGAGTGCCTTATGATTGCAAGCTAGCTCACTTGGAACTAGAATATCTAAGCACCCTGCAATTGGCAAAGGCTAGCAAGGGGTACCCTAAGTGAATAAGGATCTTACAAAATCGTCGCTTACACAAAGGGTGAGGGCGGTTTTATAAAGGGCTGTAGCGCAAATGTGGTAATAACTATTTAGAGCGGCTTAGCCTAGTCAGTTTTAACCTCACTATTAAAGAGACTAACTACCTGTTAATAACACGGAAGGGAATGGAATGAAGTGACGTTACTATATATATTCATATCAAGAATCTACCTGGTTAGGGAAAATGTGCGAGAACTAGGTCAATCGATATTATTAAAAGAAAGTACCCAATCTTGGGACCCCATTACCGGCGAGGCGCTAAGTTTTATCTTATCTAGTTATCCTAGACGTTACCTTATTCTTAGTGTCTCTCTATTACCAATATTATTAGGTGCTATAAACTAACCTTAATTAATATTCTATACGAGTATGAGTTCCTTTTTACGAGTCTTAACACACTACCATCAGGGTGGGATCCAACTAGAAGATAGAAATAGAAATCTCCTAGATTTATTCGTTCCTTATAAAACTAGAGAGGCTTTATTATAAAATATTTTAGTATACGATTGTCACGGAAACCTTAGAGGCTACCTAATAAGCATGGATATACTGCTAGTAGTAGTATATCTTAGAGATGTCACGCGCTAGTAGCTAGTTAATAGATTATTAAATGGGTGGCCCGTCTGCTAGCTAATTAGTCAAAGTATGGCACTAGCCACCCTTAGCAAGGGCGTATAACGAAGCGAGAAGATAGATCCATACTAGATAAGGGGGAGAGGACCTTTTCTCCTTATCTAACGTCTTATACCTACACGTAGATACCAAACGTAGTATATTAATCTAGCCTACCTAGGCCTTAGATATCTTGCTTATTGCTCTCATGATATTATGTTGGATCACACCAACTAACCAACATGACTAGTTCAGCAGACCCGACCCTAATAATATAGGTAATAATAGAATAGATTAAGATACT